TGTGTGTGTATGTGTGTGTGTGCGGGTGTGTATGTGTGTGTGTGTGCGTGTATGTGTGTGCATGTGCGTGTGTGTGTGTGTGTGTGGATATGTGTGCGTGTGTGTGTATGTGTATGTATGTGTGTGTATAGTGTGTGTGTGTGTGCGCGCGTGTATGTGTGTATATATATTTTATATTTATTATATATTTTATATATTATATATTTTACATTTTATATATTATATATATAAAAACTCTATATGAGTATATATATATATATATAAACTATGATACATAGGGTAATATATATTTTATATATATATATATAAAATCCCCAGTGCCTCATTTTGCTTACCACAATTTTATTAGGGTAGCATTGCTATGGTCTGAATGTTTCTGTCCTCCTAAATTCGTATGTTCAAACCTAATCACCAGTGTGATGATATCAGGAGGGAGGGCCTTTCGGAGATGATTAGATCATGAGGATAGGAGCCCTCACACATGGTATTAGTGCCTTTATAAAAGAGGCCCCAGATTGCCCCTTTCATAGAAAGAGACATCAAGGCTGGGTTCAGTGGCTCATTCCTATAATGCCAGCACTTTGGGAGTCTAGGGTAGGAGGATGGTTTGAGATCAGGAGTTCGAGGCCAGCCTGGGCAAAATGGCAAAACCCCATCTCTTAAAAAAAATACAAAAATTAGCTGGGTGTGGTGGTGCATGCCTGTGGTCCCAGCTACTTGGGAAGCTCAGGAGGGAGGATTGCTTAAGCCCAGAAAGTTGAGGCTGCAGTAAGCTGTGATTGTGCCACTGTACTCCAGCCTGGGTGACAGAGTGAGACCCTGACAAGAAAGAAGAAAGAAAGGGAGGAGGGGAGAGAAGAAAGGAGGAAGGGAAGGAAGGAGAAAAGGAAAAGAAAGAGCCATTGATAAATCAAGAAGGACTGCACCAAACACTGAATGTGCTAGCTGCTTGATCTTGGGCTTCTTAGCCTCCAGAACTATGAGAAATACATTTCTGCTCTTTATAAGCTACTCAGTGTGGTAACAACTTGATCAGACTAAGACAAGAAGTCTTGGAAATATTCAAAACCTATAAAAAATTTATGAGCTGGGCATGATGGCACATGCCTCTAGTCCCAGATACTCAGGAGGCTGAGGCAGGAGGATTGAGCCCAGGAATTTGAGGTTGTGGTGCACTATGATTGCATCTGTGAATAGCTGCTACACTCTAGCCTGGGCAACATAGTGAGACTCCATCTCTAAAAAGAAATTTTTTAACAGAGTATCATACAATATATAAAATCTAATATATAAATCCTAATGTTTTTATAAAATCTTATAAAATGTGATAGCCTATTAATAAAAGTATTCTTTGTTTTTTTCTTACCCCAAATTGATAAGCCTTTCAATCACTACACTAAAACTGTAATGATTATCCAAGAAAGTAATCATCCAGGATTGATAATAAAATATACAGGTTATCTCTCCAAAAGCAGGTATATCTAGGGAATAAAAATAAAATATACAATGTGAAAAGACACAGATGAAACTCATTAAAATTCTTTTCATTGGTTATTTCATTGCCATCCAAAGTATGACTGGTCTTCTATTGGAGGGGCCTCAAAATTTGTGTTTTTTAGCATTTATCCTTAGTGATTATTAAAATCAGGCTAATTTGGGAAACACCAACCTAGCATAAACGATACTCCTCCAGGAAGACAGAGCCTCCATTTGATGAATTGTTATGTAAACCTGTAAGATACATTAGACATCAGTTAACTATTATTACATGAAACTTAGAGTAACATATAGCACAAAAAATTATGAGTAACATGCAGTGCCAATAACATATAGTGTCTAGTACAAAGTCCCAAAACTCATGAGAGTTAAATGGAGTTTTAAAGTATAAATATTTTTTATGTTTTCTTCTTTATTGTTTCCATTAAATCACTAAAATATAGTTTTTCCTGATGGTATATTATTTACCCATGCAATAAAATATAAATTATGATAGTAGTCTTATCTATTTAAAGAGCAGTTTATTTATTTATTTATTTATTTTGAGACAAAGTCTGGCTCTGTCACCCAAGATGGAGTGCAGTGGCGCGATCTCGGCTCACTGCAACCTCCGCCTCCTGGGTTCACACCATTCTCCTGCCTCAGTCTCCTGAGTAGCTGGGACTACAGGCGCCCGCCACCACGCCCGGCTAATTTTTTGTATTTTTAGTAGAGACGGGGTTTCACTGTGTTAGCCAGGGTGGTCTCGATCTCCTGACCTTGTGATCCGCCCGCCTCGGCCTCCCAAAGTGCTGGGATTACAGGCATGAGCCACCGCGCCCGGCCAAGAGCAGTTTATTATTATGAAATATAGGACATGAGAATTTTAACTAGATACTATGTTAGATTTGGTCTTCACAAAACTGTGATATCAAGATAAACTGATTGCATAAACATTCAGATAATACAGTTGGCACAGAAAGCATTTTAATGATATTTGAAGTCAGATCAAAGTTAATTTCATAATCATAATAAGTGGCAATTCTTCACAGTCAAAAATCATGAGTATTTTCAAATGATTGGGGTTTACAGGAAAATAATTATATTGATTGTTATAATAACTTAAGAGATGGTCTCATTCCGTATCTCACATTGCCTTGGAGATATTAATTTTACATATATCTTAGATATGTGAGCAGGATTACCAGAAAGAAAATGATTTTTCTGGAACTCACAGTTTGCATTTCAATGCCAAAAAAAATTAAAAGGATGAAGCCTTTAAGTCTGGCAGGCTACAGATACCTTGTGGTAAAGAAACAAGATGTGGGAATGGTTGATAGTCACTTACTCAATGAACTTATCATATTGCAATTATGTTCTTCCTCTGATGATATCAGAGTTAGCATTATGAAATCTATATAAAATAAACATAAGAAAATATTGTAAAGCATTTAAATATGAAACTCACAATAGTACATTCCACAACTTTTCTAAATTTATTTTTGCCATCTATGTATTTATTTAGCACCCACTGTTTGTAGGCTAATATCCTAGGCACCACAGATATAAAGAGAGAGTAGATAAAATATCTTCCCTTTAGGGTTTACAGTGCTGCTGGGGAGGCAATGATAAATATCAGAAAAGATAGGTCACACGTAAGGTGTCTCAGCAACTCTAACAGAATCATTTAGAGTGTGTGTTAAAATGCACATTTCTTGGCCCACTCTCCAGACTTACTAAATCAGCATGTGAAAATAATTTTCAGGAACTTGCATAACATCCCAAGGATTGTGACTCTCAGCAAAGTTTGAGAATCACTGGTAAAAGTTAAATCCATATGATACATAGAGTAAGAAGTTGACAGGGTTCAATTTTCTCTTAAAGAATAAAATACAGTGATAAAAATAAAACTGTAATTATTCACAAGGGTTTTCATTGCCTCAAGAGAATACCAAAGGCGCTCTACAAATTACTAATAGTTTAGTAAAGACAAAGGATTTACAACCATTAAACAAAAATTAAAATTCTTATATTTACATTCAGAAAATGTAATTTAAAAATACATATACCAGGCCAGGCACAGTGGCTCATACCTGTAATCCCAGCACTTTGGGAGGCTGAAGAAGGAGGTTCTCTTGAGACCAGGAGTTTGAGACCAATCTGGGCAACATAGCAAGACCCTGTCTCTACAAAAAATTAAAAAATTAGCCCCCCATGGTGGTGCATGCTTGTAGTGCTAGCTACTCTGATGCCGAGGCTGGAAGATCGCTTGAGCCCAGAAGTTCAAGGCTGCAGTGAGCTATAATTGTGTCACTGCACTGTAGCCTGGGGCAACAGAGTGAGACCCTGTCTAAAAAAAAAAAAAAATTGCTAGTAATGGCAATAATTATAACGTTCCTAAGAATAAGCATAATAAAATATGTGAAAGACCAATGGAGATAAAATGAAAGCTTCATTAAAAAAGAAGATTTATAGAAATGGAGATATATGTTCATGGAAGGGTCACCTCAATATCATAAAGATGACAGGTTAACCCTAAATAACTTTAAGACAATTAAAATAAAAATCCAGCCATAGCTTTTCATTGAAAACAAGAAAGAAAGCTTCTTTTCACATTTACATAAAATAGTAAAAGTAAAAGAAAATATAAGGCAGGACACATAGACCGTGGAACGGAATCAAGAGCCTAAACACAGAACCCCATGTGTGTGGGATTTTAGCAAATGGAGGAGGAGGGGATAATCTCTTCTCTATTCTCACTCTTGGTACTCTTAGTCATTCTCATGCCTTTCAGTGTCATCTGGAAACTGACTGCACCCAGATTTATATTGCTAGCCCAGACTTCTCTTTCTTGACCTCCAGACTAGTGTAATCAACTACCTACTTGACATTCATTCCCATTTATATAGGTAACAGGCATCTCAAATTAAAGCAATGCCAAACAACTCCTGACCTGCCCTTCTCCCTACTTTTTTTTCACAGTCTTTTTTTTTTTTTTTTCTTTCAGTAAATGGCTTTTTTTTTTTTTTCTTCCAGCTACCCAAGGCAAACACCCTGGAGTCATCCTTGACTTCCTTTTTCTCTCTCTCATAGCCCATATCAAATTCTCAGGAAATCCTGTTGATATTACCTTAGGAATGTATTTCTTAAAATCTTACCTTTCACTACTACCAACTTGACCAAAGCTACCTTTATCTCTCATCTGGATTTCCCAAGAGCTTCCTGATCATCATCTTACTTCTGTCCTTCCTCTCCACCTCCATTCTCCATGCCCTATTCTCAAAAAAGTTGCCAAAATACTCTTGAAAATGTCAAAGTATGTCACTTCTCTACTTAAACTGCTTCCTTAACTCTTTGACCTCATTTCTCACTGTCCTTATGTCCTCACTCACTGAAATTCATCTGACCTCTCCCCTTTGCTGGTCTGTGAATGGAATATCCCACGCCATGCCCCCAGGGCTTTTAGCCTTGCCATTCCCATTAAGTGGAATGTTACTGGATAGGCATACAGGTGCGTCACCTTACCTGTTCAAAATCTTGGCTGAAATGCCTTCTTCCACTGGGGCCTTTCCTAACCACTTTAACAGTTAACACAACTCCCTACCTCCAAAAGTCTCTATCCTCTTCCCTTCTTTATTTTTCTTTTCTTTGCTTGTTTTGCTGTTGCTGTTGCTTGTTTTTTGAGATGGAGTCTCGCTCTGTCGCCCAGGCTGGAGTGCAGTGGCGCGATCTCGGCTCACTGCAAGCTCTGTCTCCCGGGTTCACGCCATTCTCCTGCCTCAACCTCCGCCACCACGCCTGGCTAATTTTTTTTTTTTTTTTTTTTTTTTTAGTAGAGACGGGATTTCACCGTGTTAGCCAGGATGGTCTCGATCTCCTGACCTTGTGATCCACCCGCCTCGGCCTCCTAAAGTGCTGGGATTACAGGCTTGAGCCACCGCGCCCGGCCCCTTCTTTATTTTTCTTCATAGCACTTATCAAACCCTGAACACTACATTTTTTTCATTTTTTTTTCTTTTTTTTTTTGAGACAGAGTCTAGCTCTGTCGCCCAGGCTGGAGGAGTGCAGTGGCTTGATCTCTGCTCACTGCAACCTCCACCTCCCAGGTTCAAGCGACTCTCCTGCCTCAGCCTCCCAAGTAGTTGGGACTACAGGCACGCACCACCACACTCAGCTAATTTTTGTATTTTTAGTAGAGACGGCGTTTCACTGTATTGAACAGTCTGGTCTCGAACTCCTGACCTCATGATCCACCCGCCTCGGCCTCCCAAAGTGCTGGGATTACAAGCGTGAGTCACCGCGCCTGGCCGAACACTACATTTTGACCTTCTTTATTCATTTATTATCTGTCATCTCCAACTAGAATGAACGTCTAGTCCCTAAGAACGGGAAATTTGTTATCTATTGAAACTTCAGAGCCTGGAACATAGCAGCACTCCAGTATTTGTTAAATAAATGAATCCATTTGAGCTTCTGCATATTTGAAATTTCATAAGTATATATAAATGGTAAGTAGTGACAGACTTAAAGGCAAGTATCATTAGGCAATTGTCTCCCATTCCCAAAAGACTTTCTAAGTCTACTAAATGATCTCTTTTTAATATGAAAGCAAAGTTATCTAAAAGGAAGGAGAAATCTTCAGTTTCTTCGACTTGGAGATTCTTTGCAATTTAAGATTTTTTTTTTTCTTTCCTTTCAATGGACACTTAAGTTTTACATAAAACATTAAAACTTCTTGTTCAATGTAGTGGGATTAAGCTGTCGAAGGCAATCCCTAAACGTGAGGAAAATATGTTTCTGATCCCCCCAACTTTTTTTTTCTCCCTGCCCATCTTCTTTGGTTGTCCTGATGCTCCCCGCCCCTTTTTGTGTTTCTTGATTCCATGCTGAGAACTCACAACACAAACTCAAAGCCCACATTTGTGAGGTGCTTGGGTCAGGACTGCAACTAAAAATGGTTATTTTTTTTAGGTTTCTGACCGCTCAGTACCAGCCTTTGGTTTTGCCTCAGAAGCAGAGAACTTCTCTAGCCCCTATTTTGCCTTCCAGCTATGATGCCACGACTCCAAATCATACCAGCGATTAGGAGGATCATTACCAGACACAAGGCCAGGTATGTTTAAAAAAATAAATAAACCAAGCGCAGGTGCACACGCCGAACACTCATCCCCAATCCCACTTTCCAATCCCACAGTAGATAACGAGAAATGAATTTGCTAGACTTTGTTCCTGCAGCAGTTGCTGTTACCAGAAACAAAGTTAGATTATATACAATCTACTCTTCATTGCTCTAAAACTCCTCTCCCCCATGGCCCCCAGGCTGCCGCAATTCTCTAGTTTCTTATTCGTTATAAGCAGGGGATGGAGCTGACCCAAGTCGGCCTTCCCCTCCCAGGGCCTTCTCCTCTTGGTCTGGCCTCCATTTTAGATGCGAATTAACCCTCCCATTACCCTTTCAGCAGCAGGGAGTCCCCTTTTTCTCCGCCTCCAGCCTCAGCCTCAGCTTGGTTTTCCTCATTTCCGATTTTTCTACAACTCATTCCCAAAGAGTCACGCGTGACGACAATTTCCACTCTGCTATGTCAGCCTGGAGATGTCCCCCAAGTGATGGTATCTGCTCTCGGAAAGAAAGGTCATCGGTACCACGACCAGCCCCGCTAGCCCAGAGGGGCCGGTGAGCCCCAGTACGGTCAGGGCGGGCGGCGGAGGCGAGGCCAGGGCGGCCCCCGCCCCTCCCGGCCGCTCCCCCTAGCCCCGCGCCGGCTCCTCCCTCCGGCCCTCGGCGGGCACCTGGCGGCGGCGGGCAGGGGGCGGCGCTGCGCGCGTCACGCGTCTGGGTGGGATAGCGGGCAGGTGACACCCGGCGGCCTCCTCCCCTTTCCAGCCCAGTCGGCGGCCGGGACAGCAGGGGCCGCTGTGAGGAGCTCCGCGCTCGCACTGCCAGCCGCCGCCCTCTCTCCCGCGCGCGCCGGGCGCTTCGGCTCGGCTCCCTGTGCGGTGAGTGCGGGGCTCCAGGCCGGCGGGCAGGGGCCAAACTTTCCCGGGGCGCCGAGGAGAAGAGACGGGGGAGGGAGGCAGAGCCGAGGGAAACGGCGTCGGGAGCGGCCGGATGGAGGAACCTGGGCGCGGCGAGCGAGAAGTGGGGCCCGGGTGCGGGGGCCCCGGGAGCCGGGCCAGGCCCTCCCTGGGCTCGGGAGGCGTTTGGGAAGTTCTGTCCCCGCCGCCTGCGCGTGGGGAGGGCCGAGGCCCTTTTCCGCCAGAGCGCGGGGCCGCGGCGCTCACCTGCGCCTTCTCCAGGAGCCCACTCCCGGCAGCATCCTGAAGGGAAGTCGGGCCCGGTGGGCGCGCTGCGGAGCGGAGCCTGGACTGGGGTCCCGCGCGGCGCCGGCTCTGCGGAGCAGGAGGGACAGAGGTGCTCGCCGGCGGGACTGGGAGGGAGAAGGACTTGCTCGACCTTGGACGCGGAGGTCATTGTCCCAGCTCCGGGGTCTGGTCTCGCTAGCCAGCCCTCCAAATTCCGGAGCCCCTTTCTTTCTGTTTCCTTCCTTCCCCTTTGGGCGCTTTTTTTGCTCCCGCGGCCGGATGAACTTGGGGCGCTGTCCCATCGACTCCCCGAGCCGCATCCTGTCCCGATGGCTGCTGCTGGCCGGGAGGAGGCTGATGAATACAGAGCCGTGGAACAGGTCCTGCCGGAGATGGAAACAGGAAAGCCTGTTGTTTTGTCGTCCCAGGTATCGTTGGTTCGTTGGGAAATGGGCTTTCTCCCTTCAAGTCAGCGCTGTTTCAAACTTCACCCGGTGCGGGGGAGAGCGCTCTTTGGAGCTCCCTGGGGAACTCGGGATGGGAAGGAGCGGGTCTTTCTTTACACCTGTCCCACTCCCTGTGTAGTTAGTCCCGCGCCGACTGAAGAACAGTTTTAGCGACCCGAGTTCCTCGCCAGCGGCCTTTTCCCTCTTGCTACGATCTCTCCTTGGAAAGCATGTTCACTTTAACCCTGTGTTCTCGGATTACCCTTTATTTCGCTCCTCGCTTTTATTGCTTACGTGCTCCCAAAGGGTCATCGATACCTGGTGGCTGTGTCTGCGTTCTTACCGCGCACCAGCTTATTCAATTCCCTTTCTTTGTAGTTTCCCTTCGTACTACTGTTCAGAAATTGGTCTCCCCAAGGTCACTGAGAACCAAATAAAATCCACCCCTCACCCCGTGGCAGTCATTTATCAGTGCTTAGGTGCCAGGCACTGATATCAGTTCTTGTATTAAAGCTTTTAATCTTCACAACCATCCTGGGAAGTAGATATTAATATTATTCTCATTTTAATGATGAGGTAACTGAGGCACGGAGAGGTTAAGTAACTTACCCAAGGCCACACCCATCTCAGCAGTAGGAGATTCCAGCTCTGGAGTTCTGTCTCCAGCACTGGAGCTGTTAACCACTGTCCTACACTGCCTCACCTAGGGTTCCTTTGCTCGTCCTTATTTTCTGAAGTCCTGTGCTGTTTCAGGCATCGTTGACCAGGCTGTCAATCTCAGGTCCCTCCTTTCCTTCTTATGTGTCTTTATACTAGTTTAGGATCCCCACACGCTCCCCCTGGCTTTTTTTTTTTTTTTTTTTTAAGAAAAATAGATTTATGGGACTTTGTTACTTAATCTGTCACCTGTATTTATCTGGCTTAAGATTCTGTGCTTTCCATGTCTTCTTCAGTTTTAGTGTAACATCTCTCAGTGCACATTATAATGTTCTACTTGGACTTGACTGGCTTTTCCCCAAAACAGCTCTAGATGGTCATTTGCATTAAGGGTCCTGCCATTATCCTGGTCTCCACGGTGTCTCATGCCATTCCTCTCCCATTCGTTAAATATGTTCTATCCAATTTTTACATGGTCTCTTCTAGCCTTTATCAGCCTCACCCATCCCATCCTCTCTTCACCACTCTCTTCCCCACTTTGAACACATCATATGCCCTTTTCTACTACTTGTTATCATCTTTTATGTTTGCTTTCCACAAAAAGATTGCAAACAGCTTAGGACATTAAATCTTCAGGCCTTACAGCTAGTAGTTGCTTGATACATATAGAATATGATACAGTATAAATTTTGGTAGCACGGATCAGGCAGGTTTGATGATGGTGGAAATTTTTAAGCCAGGTTTTACAGGATGTTAAGGAGTTTGCATTGGTAAACGTGGAGGAGCTGGTAGACATTGTAGATGAAGGAGAGAAAGGCCTGTGTTCACTCCGTTGTCACAAACAGGTACCCTGCTGTTCTGATGAAACATTATATTTAGAGGTATAATGAAGCAGGGCAAATCAGCGGAGAACCATTTATCCTTATCTTGACAAAGCAAAATATGAAAACGCAGAAAGTTAAGAAAAAAACCCCTTTTTATTGGAAAACAGCGCATACATAAAAGTGCATAAAACATAAATGGACAGATTAACACAGTAGATGTATTCAGCAGTAGAATGACTGTGTTATTCTGGCCATAGATAGGCTACAGTCAGGCCAAATAGGAATCTTTTCACAAAACCTGTGTAAGGTGAAGTGAGCCTGGACTGCTCCCAAGAGGTATTGCCAAGAAAGAATTGGCTGTGCATGGAGAGGCTTGAGGAGAGGAGAAAATGAGACTGGAAATTGGTACCAAAAGGGTAAAATCAGGGAGCCAAGAAGAGAGTTCTGACCCACTGAGCATAATTCTACCACAATGAATATTTAACCAGGGTGCTTTTGTCTCTCTCTTTTTTTCTATGCGTATTTTCCTACATCATACTCCATATAGAATTTTAGTATTCTCTGGCTGGGCACAGTGGTTCACACCTGTAATCCCAGCACTTTGGAAGGATGTGCCAGGGGGATCACCTGAGGTCAGGAGTTTGAGACCAGCCTGGCCAAAATGGTGAAACCCCATCTCTACTAAAAATACAAAAGTTAGCTGGGTGTGGTGGCACATGCCTGTAATCCCAGCTACTTGGGAGACTGAGGCAGGAGAATTGCTTGAACAGAGGTTGCAGTGAGCTGAGATCATGCCACTGCACTCCAGCCTGGGCAACAAAGGAGACTGTCTAAAAAAAAAAAAAAAAAAGGAAAGGATTTTTTTTTTAGTATTCTGTGTTTTCCATATAATACCTAGTAAGCATTTTTCATCTTATGTAATTTTCAGAACTCATATTGTTTGTATTCTAGTAATTATAATGTGATTTACTTAACTAAAACTCTATTGTTGGACAAGTATATTATCAACAAATTATAAACAACCTAAGTTATAGTAATACTTATCTTTGCAACTGTATCATTTTACAAATTGGGACTCATTTCCTAATGATACTGTTCCAGAAGTAGAATTACTTTGTCAGCAAGTATGGTTATTTTTATGGTTCTCAGTACGCATTGTCCGATTCCTAAAAGCCATTTTAAAAAGAGGATCAATGCATTTTGCCTAACTTTTCTCTCTATGAAGTAACAGCAATTCAATTAAACATGAACAGTATTGTTAAAAATGTTGTATCAGTTTCCTCAGGCTGCCATAACAAAGTACCACAAACTGGGTAGCTTGAAAAAACAGCAGTTTATTGTCTCAGTTCTGGAGGCTACAAGTCTAAAATTAGGGTGTCAGCAGTGTTGAATCCTTCTGAAAGCTCTGGGGGAGAATTTGTTCCATGCTTCTCCTAGGTTCTGGTGACAGCAGCAATCTCTGGCATTCCTTGTGCCAGCATCACTCTAATCTCTGCCTCTGTCTTCATATGCATTCTCCCTTTGTGTCTGTGTCTTCACAGAACCATCTTATAAATACACCAGTCATATTGGATTTAGGGCCCACCCCACTCCAGTATGACCTCATTTTAACATCTGTAAAAATTCAGTTTCCAAATAATAGGACACTGTAAGGTATTGGGGGTTAGGATTTCAACATATCCTCTTTGGGGCACACAATTCAGCCAGCCGTAGGGTCTTCAAATATGCATAAAAGAAAGCCTCTATCTGCAAATAATTTCTAGACAAATTGAGAAAGTAAGATTTTTTCTAATTTTTGAGATTTGTTTATTCTCCATGATGTGCCACTTGTGCTTATCAGTTTTAAGATACGGAAGGATATTTTTCTTTTCCCCCAAGACAGGGTCTCTCTCTGTCACCCAGGCGGGAGTGCAGTGGCACAATCATGGCTTTCTGCAGCCTCAATCCCCAGACTCAAGCAATCCGCCCACGTCAGCCTCCCCAGTAGCTGGGACTACAGACGCGTGTCACCATGCCCGACTAATTTTTTGTGTATTTTATAGAGACAGAGTCTCACTATGTTGCCCAAATTGGTCTTGAACTCCTGGGCTGAAGTGATTCTTCTGTCTCAGCTTCCCAAAGTGCTAGGATTACAGATGTGAGCCATTGTACATGGCCTGGAAGGATACTATTTACCAAACACATAATTCTGGAGCCATGGTAAATGTTAGCATGTTAAACTGAGAATAGCCAGAATTTCAATAAGATACATCATATAGCATGGAAAGAAGCATGCCATAAACATAGTTTTAGAAATATGTCTTACATGTGTTGCAGTGACTCATCCAGTTTTGACCAGGCAGTTACGAAAAGTTGAAAACTAATACCAGTTAGGCATTTTATAACATTGGTCTTCTAAAAAATTTGAAATTTCCATTATTTCTAATTGGTTTCTAAAAGTACATATTCATATTATTACACTGGCAAGTGAAATCACTGTTTT